ATTGTAGGGCTGTGCTTGGGGTGTCCCCAAGATCATCCTTAGCTACGTTAATTGACTAAAAGAACTCACTCAGAAAAACTGTTAGGGTACAAATAATTTTTTTTCAGTACACAGGGCAGAGTCTAGGGGAAGCCAGGAGTTCATTTCCAATTGTATTTTCCCAGTAGATCTGTAGAAACAGTGTTTACCTCCCCCAGCACCTTGAGGTGACAATACTTAACTCTGTATCTAGGCATGGAGGCTCATCTATGCCCTGTTGGATAATTCCAAAACCTGGACCATATTCAGGTCTGCCATTTACTATTTTTTACACTCTACTAGGAATGACTCTTCTGCCCCCACTTCTCTCTCTTTGATTAGGTACTAGTTATTTATTTAACCAAAGAGTGCTCTAACCTCTGAACTCATTCCCAGCCCTTTTTAATTTTATTTTGAGACAAGGTCTCTCTAAGTTGCCCAGGCACTGGCCCCAAATTTGCCATTCTCCTGCTTTAGCCTCCCCAGGAGCTGGGATTGCAGGCATGCACCACTATACCAGTCATTTTCTGCTTCTTATGTTTCAGAATATTTATAGTATTCTGAACATTATATATTTGAGTGTACACACACACACACACACACACACACACACTGTAGAGACTAAAGCATAGCATTTCTGTTTTGTTTTGTTTTATTTTCCCCAATAGGAAAGTTCTGCCTGACAGTTGAGTGTCTGACCATTCAGTGCTTCTTAAAGATGAATAACCACTATTTTGAAATTTCAGTATTTGAAGAGTCATTTGCTGAAGTTTCAGATATTTTTAGTTCATGTTTTATTTAGTAATGGCAAAGTCCTTATCTATGTAACTTTGATAAATTTATTTACCAGTTTTAGTAATATTAGAGTTTTTTGATAGATTTTTAAAAATTCTCTATGTAAACAATTGTCATATGTGAATTATAGTTTTATCTTTCTATACTCTACACTCTTACTCTTCACCATTTTATTTATTTATTTTTGCCTTGTGTTGGCCAAGATTGCTAGTAAAATGTGCTGAAGAGAGAAAAGCAGACATCTTTGCCTCATTGCTGAAAGAATTTAATATTTCATCATTAAATATGATATAAACTGAAGATTTTTCATAAACAGTTCTTATCAGATGAAAGGAAAATGCTTCATTTCCTAGGTTGCCAAGAACTTAGACACAAATGGATGATGAATATTGTCAAGTAATTTTTGTACCCATGAAATAATATTCTGTTAATATATTGAATTACATTGATTTCCCAATGTTAAATCAGCTTTGCATTCCTGGGATGAATCACACATGGTCATGATGTGTTTATCCTTTTACTGTTGGATTGGATGTGATGCTTGGTTCCATATTTTTTATCTTTGTTTATAAGTAATATGGATCCATACTTTCTTCTTGAGATTATCTTTGTCAGATTCTGGGTCAGGGTCATTCTGGTCTCCTACAATAGTAAAAAACATTCTCTCTTGTTTTTGTCCAACAGAAATTGTAAAAGATTGTTAGTATTTTTTTCTTAAAATGTTTGCTAGCGTTCGCAAAGGAAATCATATGACTCTAGAGTTTTCTTTTCTGAAAGTGACAATTCAGTTTCTTCAGTTGATCATTTATATTTCAATTTTTCGTGTATGTGTGTGTGTGTGTGTGTGTGTGTGTGTGTGTGTATTGCTAAGAGTGGAACTCAATGCCTCACACATGCTCTGGAATTTCAATTTTTTTATTGGGGTCGGGTTTTTAACAATGTCTTTCAAGAAAGTCACCAACTTTGTCCATTGTTGAATTCACTGGCATAATACTTATAATATTTCTATATCCTTTTAATGTCATTAGTATCTCTAATGATCATTTTCTGGATTTATCAGAAAAATCCATAAAATTTGTAAATTTTATGTCTTGTTCATGTATTTTTTACCTACCAATTTTTATTTTTTATAAAAATAAAAAGAATAAAAATCTACTTACTTTCTCTTCGATTTGTTTTTCTTTCTCTAGTTTCTTAAGGTAGAAACTTAGATCACATACTTCTAAAACTTTGTCCTTTTTAATATACATTTCTCACTAACCACTACTTTATCTATATACCACAGGTTTTAAAGTTTTCATTATTGTTTTGTCCTAATTATTTTTTATATTTGTTTTTGGATTCTTCTATGACTTAAAGATTGCTTAGATATGGTGTTTCAATTTCAAATGTTAGGGACTTTTTTATATATATTTTATTACGTTTACTTTCTAAATTAATTCATTGTGATCAGATATCATTCTCTATAAGATTTCCATGTTAAAACATACTGGTATAGTCCTTTGTGTGCATTCCAGGTATGCTTGAAACTAGCCTATTTTCTACAATCCTTGTTGTTAGCATCCTAAAGCAAACTGGTAATTAGGTCACATTGGCAATAATGCTATTCAAATCTTTTGTATGCATTTTAAACTAATTTTTGTCATTTTTTTTCTGTTAGTTATTATTAAAAGTATATTATAAAAGCTCCAGCCATGGTGGGCTTGGTGGCGTATGCCTGTGATCCCACTGGTTCTGGACACAGGAGAATTGCAAGTTCAAAGCCAGCCTCAGCAACTTAGCTCTGTCTCAAAATAAAAGGGCTGAGGATGTAGCTCAGTGATTAAGTGCCCCTGGGCTCATCCCTGCTACCAAAAATAAATGAATAAAAGGAAGCTCAAACTATGAATATGGACTTGCCTGTTTCATCTTTTAGTTATGTCCGTTTCTCCTTCAGGGTAATTTGAAGTTCTGCTTATAGGTACCTGCACAGTTTGGGTGGTCCAGTTTTCCTGAGAAACTTTTTTGGTTTTCATCATTTTCTAATTTCTCTCTATCATCTTGAAACCCATTTGTGTGATAGCATTATAGCCTAAACATCTCTTTGCTGTTAATTTTCATTTGCATGGTATATAATTTGCCTTTATTCCCCTTTACTCTCAACGTACTTGGGTCTTCCCACTCTTTTAGAGTTCCTAGGAAGCAGACTCTGACATGGAGATTTCATGCACAGGGTGTATTTGGGATGTGCTTTCAGTATCAATACCTTTTGGGAGAAGGAAGGAAGAAAAGTTGGACTAGGAGACTTTGGTTGTTCAATTGCAACAAAGGCTCAGCTGGTTTTATGGATGCCCTAGACTAGGATGCACCTTGGAGCAGGAGAAAGTGTTTATACTCCTACATTGACCTGTCAGTATACGAGGGCTGACCCCAAAAGGGATGTGATCTTGGGCACATAGAATCTGTTAGTTGAAGCAAGTCCTGGAAAGGAACTCAGTTGAGAGCTATCAGTTGGCAACACTCCCAGCAGCTATAGGAATGAGTTCTTCAGGCCTAGATCTGACTGTGTGGGTGGTGCACTGTGTCATTACAGTGTATAGTTGAAAATGCTTCTTGTAACTCTCCTATAGCTAAATGTCAGTTGTGTAGTACAAGATGATGACCTTGGCTTTCTGTTGGAGTGTCTAATCCCTTGAAACTTAGTGTAATCATCAATGGGGTTAGGTGGGTGTGCCATTTTTCTGTGTATTTTCCATTTTTCTCATGCTATTTCTTTCTCTTTTCCTGACTTCATTGAGATCAGTCATTTCTTTATGTTTTTATTTTAATTGACCTAATGGCTCTTTATTGTATTTATTGATTTTTTTTCTTATTAATATTTAATGACAGGAGTTATATTATGTACCCTAAACTTACTATTTATCCAAGTTTAATATAATATTTAAAGCCAAATGGAGAAACCTTAGAAAATACAACTTCATTCACTTGACCATCTTTTGTGTTGTTATCATTTATTTCACTTCTATAGCATATTATAAATCTCACAATATAGTGTCATATTTTTGCTTCAAAGATAGAAGCATATTTTTGCTTCAAAAAGCTGTCTTTAATTATTTAAGAGGAGCATAGAAGATAATCTTTGACATTTACCTGCATTCTTACATTTATGTTACTCTTCATTCCCTCCTGCACATCTTAGATTTCATTTGGTTTCTTTCTTTCAGCTGAAATCACCCCATAGTATTTTTTTTTTCCTTTTTAATTCAGGTCATAGGTGAAAAAAATTATTCTCTATTTTTGTTTATCTGTGCTTCCTTTCTTTCATAAAAGCATGTTTGGCTTCTTTGGACCACTGAGCAATAATTTTTTTCTAGCTTCCTTTTTAGAAGAGGGTTATCATTTTTAAGAATCCCAGCTTGGGGCTGGGGATGTGGTTCAAGCGGTAGTGCACTCGCCTGGCATGTTTGCGGCCTGGGTTCGATCCTCAGCACCACATACAAACAAAGATGTTGTATCCACAGAAAACTAAAAAATAAATATTAAAAAAAATTCTCTCTCTCTCTCTCTCTCTCTCTCTCTCTCATCTCTCTCTCTCTTTAAAAAAAAGAATCCCAGTTTTATTTAGGGTCTCAATTCTAGCACATTCTCTGAAACAAACATATATCAAAGTCTCCTGTTCCTGGATGGATATTAGAAGTGTTACAACTCCAGCTCTCAGGCCTTTGGCTCATTTTTCAGCCACCTAGGTCAATGAGGTCAGCTAGAAGCTTCTGTTCTGGTTTTGAGTTCCCAGTTTATTTCTGGTTACTGAATTCTTCCTTAATGGTGACAGGGTATGCCAAATTATGGGAATTGACTGTTTTCACTGTTTCTTCATATTTATACCAGAGGTGAACAATTTAGGAAGGTAGATGTTCATATCAACTGCTAAGATGAAAGAATCTGCTTTTTTTTTCTTCATAATGTGGAATACTTTTAGGATTACAAATAACAATCAAATTATGAGAACTAAATCACTGTGGAAGCTTTTCTTATTCATTTATTTATTTTTAATAGACTGTATTTTCACCTGGTTAACAAAGAGGTTTCAGCTATTGGCTTTATTTATTGTGAGATCACACATGTACTAAATGGAATCATGTATATAATTTAATAAAAAATAATTTTTGAAGTTTCAACTTTTGCTCTGTTGCTTCCTACTCCAACAGGTCTATGGAAATGCAGGACCTAGCAAGTCCTCATACTCTTGTTGGACCTAGTGATACTGCTGGTAGCTCCAAACTGGATAAATCCAATCTCAGCAGCACATCAGTCACTACGAATGGAACTGGAGGTAAGTGTATCACCCCAGAGATACCCAGAATCATATCTCATTGTTTGCTTTAATTTTACATTAGGATTCTGCTAATAAAGGATTATCTTATTATCAGTTCAGCAGTATATCCTAGGAATATAGAGTTAGTATGTCATTTATCATTCTGTTGATTTTCTTGAAATATATGTTCTTCCTCCATAGTGGAAACATTCAGAGAGAACAGATAGTCCTGAGCAACATTTTGAGGGCCTACAGAAGGTTTTCTTTTTGTGTTTTTACTTATTCCTTATAAATATTTCAACTAATTTAAAAGTTTTTATCAAAAGATTTGAACTCTGTTAGTACAAATACACACACACACACACACACACACATAAACACACACACACACACCACTTATGCAACTTTTGGGTTTTATTTTGATTTAAAAGAGATTACCCAAAATTTTTCATAAAGAATGTTTTTTCTTAAAAATGATCTTGGAAATACAAAAATATGCATATCTGCTGTATTTTCTTTTCAAAGAGAATAATACCATAATACTTAGCACTTCTTTAAAAAAGGATTGTATTTTTTCTAGATACTTTCTCATTTCATTAGGCCATAATTATTCCACAACAACAACTAGTCTGTCTAAAATTCTGGTTTTTTAAATATAATTTTTTTATAGAATGCATTCAACTTGTCAGAACATATGATCCAATTCTTGTACTAGCATATGTATATATTGACTATATACATACATACACTCTCATAAATATGATATAAATTGCATTTCAATTATTCACAACCATTTTAAAATCTCGTAAGTCTAGTCTCATCAATAAAGTAAAATTTATATGAAATTTGGTTTAGTTTGTAAACTATTCTTATTATCAGATATCAGCATTTGCCACATCATATTTTCTTTTAAATTTTGAATAAATATCTATAAATTTTCTACACTTCTTCCCATTTAATATAACTGTGCAGTCTAAACTGTTCTTTGTCAAGTTGTGTGCATTGCAACTTACCTGTACTTAATAATGTTTTATACCAAACCCTTTGCAGATTAACATTCTCCTTGTTTATAGTGTTTCTTTGTCTCTAAACATGCATCTGTAATTTCAGCTAATTAATTATGGGATTGCAAATATATAAGAATATTTAGTGATGACTAAAGTATGGACATTTACATTTAAACTTGAAATAGGATACTAATAAGATTGAAAAATCCTCTGAAATCAGACTTTGAAGTTCACAAATCGTCCTGTACATATATTTACTGAACTAAAACAGATCTGGGTACACCAAAATGCAGAAGTTATACAGTGCAGTGCTAATTTGGCTAAAGGTCAGAAACCAGCACAGACATTGAAGATTACTCATGTACACTGAGCAGGCATTCAGACAATGAACTCTTATACTGTTCCTGTTCTCAGGGGACAACATGACTGTTTTAAATACAGCAGACTGGTTACTGAGTTGCAACACCCCCTCTTCCGCAACAAGTATGGGAGACGATGGTACACTGCATGCGTTTGGGTGTGTGGATTTGCCCCTCTGGTTTGCTGTCTGTTGCTCTTTCTGTGTTTGCCCCTCTTCTCGGGGTTCAGTATGTAAAAAGGAGAAAAGTGAACAAGACTTTAGTTGTTTATGGTAACAGTGGGCTGTGTTTTTTTTTTATCAACTGATGCTCTAATCTTACATTCTAAAGAATGTAAGAATGTAAGATTAAATGTAAAGAATGTCAGTGGGTTTTTTTTTCCTGATATTTTTCATAATTTGGCACGAAAAGGTACATACGTGGACAACACGTGGTTTTTCTAATGACTAAAAAATTTATTATGCGGTTAATTTGACCCAGCGACAGGCACATTGATCAGAGCAAGTTGAAGGAGTAAACATATATAAAAATTTAGTTACCTAATAACCCATAGATTTTTAGGATTTAAATTAAATTCTTTACATGGCAAAAAGATAGTAGCTAGTTTTCAGACTTTGATAAATATTTCAAAGTCAATAGTCAATATCATATTACTTTCAAAAGTTTCAGTGATGAAACTATATGTTTTAAATTTTTTAAAATATTGTTTAGTTTTTAGTGGATCTTTATTTTATTTATTTATATGTGGTGCCGAGAATCAAACTCAGTGTCTCACACGTGCTAGGCAAGCCCTCTGCTACTGAACCACAACCCCAGCCCCTATATGTTTAAAATTATAATAGTCTCTTGAAATGTTTTGATCTATAGATATTTATATTCATACACACACAAATTTTCCCCATATCAAATATTAATATACTACCAAAATGTAAATATTTAAACTATCACAATACTGCAGAAACACTCATTTTAGGCTTAAAAAAAAGAGCTAATATTTATTGGAAAGATGCATTAAAAGCAAGTACTCAAAATAGGCACAGTTTGGCTGGCCTTGCTCTCAGATCAAATTAAAACATCACCACCATATAAATATCACTGCACTATGTGCATTGTTTATATTTTTATGGTTTTAGTTTCAAATATTTCTCATTTTCACATTTGGAATACACTTTTCATACTTAAAAATATGTTGCCAGGATTCAGTTTTTCTTAATTCTAATGCAGAAGTCCCTTTTGGAAAAGATCAAGATAGTAAATGTGTCTGGCTTTGTAGAACACACAGTCTCTGTTTCAGCTCTCAGCTCTACATTGAAGTGCAAAGGTAGCTATAAGCAGGGTAAAAATGAATGGCCATGGCCATGTTCCAATAGACTTTTATTTATGGACCACCAAATTTTAAAAATTTAAATTTCATATAATTTTCTTGTGTTATGATATATTCTCATTTTGCCAGTTTTTTATCTTATTTTTTTGGTTGGGGGGATACCACAGATTGAACCCAGGGGTGCCTAACCCTGAGCCTATCAGCAGCCCTTTTTCATATTTTATTTAGAGACAGGATCTCACTGAGTTGCTCAAGGTCTTACTAAGCTGCTGAGGCTGGCTTTGAACTCACAATCCTCTTGCCTCAGCCTCCCAAGCTGCCAGAATTACAGGCATGTACCACTGTACCCAGCTCACTTTGCTAATTTTTTAGACAAGCATATGTTAAAAAAAATTATAGCTCACTGACTGTTCTGAAGTAGTGTCAATGTATTACAATAGTGAATATGTCCAACAATATTTAGGAATTTTCATCTCACCTCAAGCAGAAACATTTTTCTAAGTGTAAACCATCAAGTTTTCTCGATTCTTAGGGTAAATATTATGTCTTATATGGCCATGTGGAAGGAAAAGGACTTATGTGTCAGGAGTACCATGGATCTAGATGTTAGCACTACTCTTACTGGCTGTGTCACCTTGAACAAGTTAGTTAACCTCTTTGAGCATGAGTTTTTTCCTCTAAAAAAAGGAAGTCTATAACATATAATGGCAAAGCATTTTGTAATTAGATAATGTATACAAATTGCTTGGCAATAAATACTGCTACATCTTTCTTTCTATAATTAATTATATAATGAATAAGCAAGTTTTTTAAGGAAAATAAAAATTTGCATTGTATTTAAAGAACTTTCAATATTTGGTCAGATAAAGATTTTTGTTGAATAGAGAAATTTGTAAAATGGGCCAAAAAGGCAAACTTTTAACAAAGTGTTATATGTACTTCAGTTATTGGAATATAGTCTTAATGGCATACTGATACTGGAAATTTTAAGGAATTTTATTGAATTTTTAATGGCAAGTGTTATGTTACACACCACACATTGGTTATATAATCTCTTCCACAGAGAATAAACTGTTTTACTTTTTTAATTCAAAGTTTTATTGTTGGAGTTAATCACTTTGTAAAATTATCCCAATAAAAAGTATAAGCTAAATAAATTTAATGGCTTTTCAAGACCTTTCCATTAACTTTGAGAATAATTTTAATTCTGTAGTTTTAATACCTATAAATAGCATCACCTTAAGATCCTACATTGGTGTTTCCTAAATATATTGCGTTATTTTTTAAAGTAATTTAAGATGTTTTATCACTTTAGTCCTAACTGCATCATTATATCTGCAGATTTATATGGGAACTAAGATTTTTCCCTTTTAAAAGGAACACAATCATACCTTAGCAAACAAATGACTGGCCAGGCTTTGTGGGCCACACAATTAGGCCATGGTGTTGTTGCAGGATAGCAGCCATAGAGTGACTTAGTAGCTACAACTGACACATGACAATAATCACACGATCTGGATTTAGTCTATAGATACTAATTATTTTAAACAGTAAAAAATGGAAAATCTGATTACACATATATGTTTTTATATATAATATATGTATATTATATGTGTGTATTTATATGTATTTTTTAACTATTTGACTATGTGAAAAGCACCCAAATTGCAAATAGTCCAGGGTGGGATCTGACAAGGCAAGAATTTCTTTTACTTTTTTTTTAATACCTTGATTTTAATTATTTATTAACTTTTTATGTGGTGCTGAGGATTGAACCCAGTGCTTCATGTGTATAAGACAAGCGCTCTACCACTGAGCCACAACCACAGCCCCAAGAATTTCTTAATGTGACAGTTCTGTACAAAGTGCTGTGGCTGTGTAAAGTTGTTTTATCCTAAATTTCATGAACCTTCTACTCACTTCTTTTGAGCATGGAGAAGAACAAAGTCTCAGAACTCTCCAAAGTAGGACATGAAAATCTGATTTCTGCTTTTGAAATCAAAGCATTTGTTGTGTGGGTTTTAATTTTGTTGAAAATGTGGTCCTTTTCTACTATACAAGGTTTTTTGCTTCTATTTTATAGTATGTAATGATTTTGAATAGTGACCTGAAAAGTGAGTAAAAAAGACCTGTTTAAACTCTATATTAATTTGAGACAAACAAGATATAGTTGTATATTTTACTGAATATACACTGAATGAGAATTTTTTCGCAAGTTTTAGGAGAAACGTAAAAAAAAAAAAAAAGTAGATTTGTTTTATTAATGAACATGTTTCTAACAGTGCCTTGCACATATTTAATTTTAAAAAGTTTTCTGCCACTAGGGAAAAAATATAGTATATCTAATTTAAACTGCAGAGACAAAAGAAAATAAGATACATTTCAAATATTTTTGGGAAAATTATTTCCATTTTTCAAGCTTTATAATTATTATGTAATGTATACTTTATAGCTATTATCTTTTTTATGGATATCAATATTACCCTCCTTTGTACTCTAATATCTGTTTAATCACTTAATATAAGTAAAAGTACTGATTTCACTTCTCTGAGTTTTCTATTGTTAAGAGATTCTAATTATTTGTTATTACCCAATATTACACCCTTTCTTTAAAAAAAATAAAAGAAAAATATCTTTGCATTTCATGTGGAGCTCAGGAGATATGTGTTAATGTCCACTTAATGTGGAAATGATGTTTATCTGGACAGTGCAATTTATTTCTATCCCCTGTTATCTTCTGTATTATAATTACCTGCATAGGAAAAATAATTTTACATCAGTATCTGTCATTTTCCTCCACATGTTAGCATCTATTCTTTGGCTTTTACCTTAAAATCCCTCCACTTTTGTATCCTGGACACATCTTGATATTTGTGCATCTGCATGTACTTGCTAGGGATGCTTCTTCTCAGTAAAATGGTCCACCTTTTTCTATCTCCCCCCACCCCCCTTCCTGGAGATTGAACTCAAGGGCACTCAACCATTGAGCTACATCCCCAGCCCTATTTTATTTTGTACTTTATTTAGAGACAGGGTCTCACTGAGTTGCTTGGTACCTGGCTTTCACTGAGGCTGACTTTGAACTCAGGATCCTCCTTCCTCAGCCTCCCAAGCTGCTAGGATTACAGGTGTGCATCACCCCACACAGCTCCTTTGTCTACCTTTAAGTAAATACAGACCTTTATAGTTTTAATGAAAGATGTTACCAATATTAAGAATGAGATAAAAAGATCTCACCTTCTTCTTTGTCCTTCTATGATAGTTTTTCTGAAGGCTTTTGACCACCTGAAGTTTTCAAATTGAGGAGATTTATAATCACAGTCAATACTGAATTTTTAAAATCAAGTCTCAAAGTTGCAATCCAAGGTAATAATATGAATCTTGGGGTCTGATTCCTAGACCAGTTTCATCAGACTCACCTCATATTCTGCTTCATTTCCTAATGAACAAGTGAAGTAGGTTATCTTTGGGAATATAATAAATCTATTTTACAAGCACTGTTTATAGGTACAGACATGTGTAAATAGGAACTTAGCCACAATTAGTTTGGAAGTCTAAGAAACTCTCTTGTGGTAGTTTTTCTGTCAGCTTTCGACTATGTCATAAATGTCAGAAGGAAAATGTGGACATTATACCACAGAGGGTAACCTTTACATCCATCTGGATTATTCTCTGGATTGTCTCTATACAGATGAAAGGAATTCTTGAGTAGTTGGTACTTCCTTAAAGGCAAATGGTTTAGTGATTGGATTCTGCAAATGTACCACCTGATCTCAAATTCTAGTTCTTACCAGCAGTGTGACTGTGGACATGTTATTTAATCTTCGTGTGTCTCAATTTCCTCATCTGAAGAATGAAGATACTAATATTGTCTGTTGACTGTTGTAGAGAGTAAATAAATTAATTCCTGTAAAGCACAGGAAAAGCCCCTGGAATGTATCAAGCATCTTTTAATTGTGTGCTCTTATCATCTACTTTTTTTTCCTTGTTGTCTTTTAAAATATGCCATGAGGAAGAAATAAAAAATACAAGTTAGTAGCCTATTTCAGTACTTTCAGCTTTCAATTTAAATAAGGCATTCCTAGAATGTAACCATATTCTTATAATGCTCTAAGTCTTCATGGAGAGACACTCTCAGGAACATAAATAAGCAAGTCATTTTTCAGACCTGAAGATAGTTCTGGTAGAAAGATTATTATTAAAATTGAATTTCTTAATTCAGATCTTATTCTAAATTCCCAAATTCAGATCATTTCTTCTGTGATGGAACTGACACAGATTCCTTAGTCACCTGAATTTTAGTTTCTTTGTGTATGAAACGGAAAAAAGTGATTTGTAACTATCGGGTTGTTTTAAGGCTTAGCTAAATGCACATGGTCTAGCATATAGTAAGCTCTCAATAATAATTTTGTATTAATTAGAACTTTTATAGTGGTAAGCACAATTGCTAATTAGGTATAATGTAATGTGAACAACTGCAAATTACTATTGAAATGTACTAATCACTCATTCATTGGTTATCATTACGCAAATAATAAGACTCTACTCATGGCTGCTATTGAAAGATAGGTCAACCTCCGATTTTCCTTTGGTTAGGATAAGTAAACCATTTTTTACTTCCTCTTTCCAAACTGAACAATTCACCTCTGACTCTACCAGCAAATTATCATGTCATTTTTCAAACATGAATACTAAGTTAACTCAGAACTCACTGAGGATCTGTTTAAGTCTGTTCACGTGGAAAGCACATAATCATTTCTGCATGTTGTTTCATCAATCAATTGCTTTTCTAACACAGTAACATTACTGACACGGGTGTAATGTTGGTAGGTACTGTGTGACCCTGCTATTCTCTTTTGGCCTACTTAGTCATGGTTGGCTGGTCTGCAGCTTTCTTTATAGTTTACTGCTTGCTTCTAAGTTATATAACTGCACCATTCCATTTATGATCAGGAAACATAAGAAGTGACAAGTAGAAAATAAGTTTGTTTATTCCCTTACTGCTGTGATATATGTAGTAAAGCTTTGCAACCAAGGGAAAATATGGTGTGACCAAATGGGGAGAGGCTTTATCACTGCCCCACGTGCTGTGTCTCATAATGGCAATAATGTGTGCCAGGCTACATTGCTGCCACAGAGGATTTTGCCCAAATACACCATCTCAAAGTAGAAATAACATATTACAACAGTTTTCCAGAGATAGGCTTGCTGCTATCAAAGTCACCTCTTCTCTGCTTAGCTCTATAACACATTAAAAATTGTTACATCATTAATATAAAAAACCCAACACTTGAAGACTCCTTGTCTTCTTTAGTCTGGAAAATTTATTGTCTCATCTGTCACCCATCAATGAATAGGCTCATGGTTTCTGGATTTGTATATGCCTCCATTGTACTCTAATGCAATTTTTGTTATTTTAAATATCTCCTTGGGAAGAATAAAATATCAACTAGTAAATCCCTTTGTTATGATTTGAATTAAATGTGCTGGTGACTGACTGGATTCTTCTGTCTGTTGACTCTATCAGAGTGTGCTTAAGTGAATTAAAAATGCAAATATATGTACTGCTGTTTCACTTTTGAAGGTTGACTGCCTTTAAAAGTCAGGCTCTGAGAACCAGCTTAGCCAGAGGATTCTAGAATAAATCCTCCATAAATGCATGCCCATTTAGAAGCTAAATTAACAAAACTCTTCTCGTCAACTTCTCAAAGTTTTCTCTTGCATGCCCATGATAGCTAGCGAGATCAGTCATAGAACAGTCAGGGTCTTTGATATACATTTAGAAGTAAAACTCACATGTACTTATTCTTCTACGTAGTGTCTCTTCTTGCAGTCAAAACAGAGCCCTTGAACAGCAGTGAAACCACAAGCACGACTGGAGATGGAGCGCTTGACACTTTTACTGGGTCAGGTAAAGCCTTTAGTTCGTGTGTCCTTATGTCCACACCAGGGTTCATGCACAGCCTCCTCCTTGTGGATAGCAACGTGAACATCAAAGCTATTAGAACTTGAATCTTTATGAAGTTAGCAACAAATCCACTTTTGAGATTCATCCTAAAACTATGTATTTTTACAAATTATAGTAGGAATCATTTTGCCAGCTTTTCAGTTGACAGTGAAGCAATCCCATGACTTTCTCATTAGAGATAAGCAGAGCTGGCTTCCTTCATCATGATTTTATGCAGTGCTTAATTAATTTAATAATTAGGTCACAACAGCCGACTTTGTTCCTTCAACTCACCCACTTAAATTACATTAAAAACTGCCTTCTATCCCCCATCCTAGATGTAAAACTATCCATTTGATTCCTTCTAAATAACCTTGCTTCCTCTCTGGGTTTAAAAAAGCCCTCCTGTGCAAGCAGCTGAGTGATAAGTATTAAAGGTTAATGGGCTTCGGGGGACACATGCTGGTTGCATTAGAACCCAGACTCAGGGAGCAATCCTGGGCTTCAAAGAGAACAACCTTGTGTCTTTAAACATCAATCCCTTTTAAATAGAAATATCTGATAACTCCCAGCTGGACACAAAGGGTGTGAAATAAATTGACTTAGTAAAAGATTTTTTTTTTAATTACAGTATTGACTTGGTAAAATATTTTTCTTTTTTAATTACAGTATTTTGGTTAGCTTATTTTCTGGCAAAAGGATTAAAACAAACAAACAAAAAAAAAAACCTTAGAAGGAATGTGTACATCAGAAAGATGAAAATTAAACTTAGAAGAGCAGTTATGGCAATTAAATCTCGGTTCCATTGTCTGCTTTAATGTATTTTACATTTATTCGTGTTCTTATGTGCAAGGATTTTATGTGGGTATGCCCTAAGTAAAAAGAGTTGAGATATGTGTTTGAGTATAATGTCATCATAGCACATTTAATTTTTATGGATGTGGATGACCCAGTTTTATTAGTTCATAGCAGTTGGAAGTAGTTGTCATATATTGACATAAATATTAGTACTACAAACAAAAATAATGTATAGTAGATAAATTTTGCATAGAAACTCATTTATGCTAATCCACATCGTTTCTGGCATCTTGCCTGCTTCCCAGAGATAGACACTGACTTACCTTGTGATTCTGTATTGCTCACTTACTTCAGCTCTTGTAAACATTCTGCAAAGTAAATGTATATAATGCAATTTTAAGAAAAGGAGTTATTAAGTGATTGCTATCATACTTCAAGGGCATACAAGTACTTGGAAAGTTGAATGACAGAACTATAGAACGATAGGAGTGTCAGAGCTCTCTGAAACATTTTACAGATGAGAATACCAAGGTGCACAGAGAAGTCAAAGGTAGTTATGGCCCCATGATCAAGGCATTATAACTGGTACAAATGAGGCTAGAACTGGGTAGTATATGGGTCCTTTCAATAGTCCTCCATTGGAAAACATAAAGACACACAAAGAAACGTGTAAACAATCATTCTATTTGAAATACACTCATATTTTCTTTAAACATATTTTCCCAGTTTTCTTTTCAAACTTTTCTAGGGCTATGCAGTCTAACAAAATAGCCATTTGCCACATGTAACTATTTAAATTTAAATTAAGTAAAATGTGGTAAGATAAAAATTTTGTTTTTTATCACACCAGCCACACTTCAAATGTTTAATGGATGCCTGTAGCTAGTGGCTACCATATTGGATAACTCAAATACAGAGCATGTTCAACACCATGGGAAGTTCCTTCTCAATAGTGATCCAGGATAAGGGTTCTCAATGGCAGTACTATTAAAATTGGGGGCTAATTCTTTATTGTGAGGGATCTATGCTGTGCATGGTAAGATGCTCAGCAGCATCCACACATATGCTCCAAATGCCAGTAGCACCATCAGTTATAACACCAAAAAAATAACTCCAGATATTTAACATTCTCCTGGCATATAAATTCCTCCCCGCTTCACATTTAGAATCACTGACCTAACATATTCTAATAGTAAGAGTAAAACCCTAAAATCATTTGACACGATCATCTGGAAAACTAATAGACATTAAATTTTTTAAATTAATTTTCAGGATATTTTGAAGACTAGCAGTTCTGTTTCCTTTTGTTTGAAATATACTGAGTTAAAATATACTGAGTTAAGTGCTTTGGGGTTAATTAAAAGACAATGAGGGATAAAGAGAAGATCTTCCCCATTTGTATAGGGTGTCCCATACGTTTTTCTGGAGATCAGGCTGCCTTGGCAGGAACAGTCTTTATTCTGAACAACTAATCACAATTCACTTGAATCCATTTTTTATTGTTTTCTATCATCTGCAAATTTATGAGCATAAAATATATAAATTTTAATAAAGAAGCTTATATTCTCCATCTTGTTCTTTAAATGGCCTCTTAGTTTTCTAAACCAAAAGTTGTGTTTTTTATTTAGAAAGTGAAAATATAGACATTAGTGAGAAATTTCAATTTAATTGACAATTTATTTGTTGTGGGTACGTTATTCTAATGATATCTAGATTTGTTAATTAGAGAGAAAAACATCCTATATATTCAGAATTGTGTTCATGTATATAGGTTTTGTCTGAAATACAGAATTTTGCTCTTCATCATATTTAATGAAAACTGCTATAGTGAATGTTTCTTTTCATCATTCTGTGTATTTTGAAAATCCTCCTATTTTTCAGTCTTGAGAATAATTAGTATGTATAGCCAAAGTCCTTTAAAAAAGAGACAAAACATCTTGGAATTAATTGTTTAATTCCAACTTATTTAACTGTTTTTCTGATAAATAAAATATTTACTATAGTGAATTAATAAATTAGACTGAAAGCACTATTATTATATAATGTACATTTAGTACCCATGGAGTGTAGTACAAAGTTTACCCTCATTGAATTGATTTGAGAGTTTTAAATATCCTTTTAAGTTTTTAAGAATTAACTAGAAAATTAATGGCTTACCAATAAATTTATTTCTAATATACATATATAGAAAATTCACTTAAATTTTGATTCCTGAGAATTTTTAGAATATTATACTTCAGTCATATTTGACTATTTTCAAACTTGATTTCTAGTATTCATGAAAATGTGCTTATTGTACTATTGCTGTGAAAACTATACTTTCATTACCCCAAACTTATAGGCAAAATAGCATTTTAAACACCTTACATTCTGTATGTTTATGAAGCAATAGATCACAAGAGTACTTAATAACATTTGGATATAGAAGTATATCACATTTCATAAAATAGTGAGCAACTTAAACCTATTTGTCACTTTTACAATTCTAAAAGTTTAGCTCCAGAATTATTATGAACAACTTAGGAAGGTCATAGTACTTTGAAGTAGAACTATGATTGATTAGACTAAACTAATTCCAGCACTGTGTTGTGTACTACTTTAATCTTTTTGAAAAGTGAATGAACAGCAGATGGCCTAATAAAGACACTCTGTGTGCTTGCCCAGTATGGATTGGCTCTGAAGGGGCTGGCTCAACACTTCAGAACCCATATATTTGCAATACATCTGTCTTAGTCAAGGCAGATGGCTAAAGGAAAGAGAAACTTCCATACTTTTGGATATATTCCAGTCTGTGGTGCATATTTGGATGAAATGTTTATAGAACCTGACTTTTACTTTTAAGTTCTTTTCAGAAAAGTATTTTCTCTGATAGTTATAAATATGTATGTAAATATGATTGCTACTGCATTTTGTGATTATGCTTAATAGAAGGTGTTACATCATCCTGCATGTTTGCTCTGTACATTTCAAATATTTCTAGGGTACTTTGGTCTCTGCATTTTTAATCACTACTCGGATTAGTAAAATGAAAGAAAATAGAAAAGAATAGCATGTTTACAATTAGTGAATGATGTTTTGAAACATGAATTTTTTCTTAAATATTATTTTAAGGCTGGGGTTGTGGCTCAGTGGCAGAGTGCTTGCCTCGCACATGTGAGGCACTGGGTTCGATCCTCAGCACCACAAAAAAATAAATAAACAAAATAAATATATTACATCCATCTAGAACTAAAAATATTTTTTAGAATTATTATTTTAGTTAGAATAAATCTGCAAGCAATGTATTGCTATCATGTGGAGTTTAAAATGTAAAGTGTTCAAATTTAAAAATTTACTTTTACACCTTGAAAGTTTAATTATTCTATAATCAAAAATACTTTTTTATAACGTATCAATATGTAAGAGTATACTGCTGACTTGAGAAAATGGATGAGTGATAGAATGATTTGAATGAGGAATATTTATTTCATGCTCTTAGAACAAAATTCAAAGCAGTTTAATTTGAAAAAGTATTTAGGGAGTGTTACATTTTAAGAAATGGATTTTAGAAAATGAACAAATTTTTAGAAACATTTAACATGGCAATTTCTTTAAATTAGCTATATACCTTCTAATGGAATGCATTTATGAAGCAAATTTTTTTGTGCATTGTTTTTTTTTGTGTCTTACAGTAATCACAAGCAGTGGCTACAGCCCTAGATCAGCACATCAGTACTCTCCCCAGCTCTATCCTTCCAAGTAAGTGGTCAGTAGATGCAGTTTTGTTAGAACCATTTTCCAGAATTACATTTATTAATTTCTATTCACACAATATATCAACTTTAATTGGCAAGAATTTCTGTACATACATGTAACATAGGCAGCTGGATAGATATTTGGATAGATTAGACAAATATTCTATACATATTAGAAATAGAGACATCAGGGGCTGGGGTTGTGGTTCAGCAGTGGAGCATTCGCCTAGCATATACAAGGCCCTGGGTTCGATCCTCAGCACCACATAAAAACGAATAAATAAAATAAAGGTATTGTGTCCAACTGCAACTAAAAAAAAAATAATTTAAAAAAGAAATAGAGACATCACTTTTATCTGGATAATGCCCTTCTTTTTGGGTATTTGTGGACTTTGAGCAGGACATGAAACTAAAACTAGAATATGCTATTTTTTTAAATGAAAAATTTTAAATGCTGGGTAGTTTAAAGAAAATATAAAGAATTCACATTTTATCCAAACATCAACACTTCATAATTCATTCCATTATTGGAATATTTTTATTGGATTTCAAGTTATAATAAGCATACTTCTGGAAAAATATATATACATATGTTTTTTTTTATAACTAGTGTGGTCACCATACTAAGGACAATGGTAGATAGTTCAAATTTAACTATATTGGGTGTATATCCCAATTTGTTTGGAATCAACAAGATGTGCCTAATTTGGATTCCCAAGACATACACTTTAATATATAATGTGTTATTGTCTGTAACATCAAGAATATCCTTAAGTATAAGCTGGGATTGAATCTCCAGTTGGGAACACAGATAAAATGTGACATGATAAAGGGAATGGCATTCATTTTCTTTTCAGGAGGACTTCTCCTTCTCCTTTTTTCTAAGATTTCCCATTTACAGTAGTGAATTCTTGGAAGAAATTTTAAATAGAGTTTTGTAATCACTGTATAGCATTAGGTCACTTGTAGTGAATCTGAATCTGCTTGTAAGCATATTAATTAACTGGCCTGTGCTCCCTTTTCCTCATCTACAAATTATTTAGAGTGCTATTTAGCTGTAACAAGACTTTAGATATAATATCTAAACCAAATTTCTCATTTGACAGGTGAGATAGTCGTAAGGAGTTTAAATTATTTTTTCCAAGGTGACCAGATTGCTTTGTAGCAGAGCCTGGGCTCCGGACATTCAAACTCTTATTTGCTCCTATATTGTTAAAATTATGTTGTAAATAGAGAGGAGGATTACTTCCTGAATATTGTAGGGTTTCACTGAATCTAAGCTGTCTGAATTAATATGCAGTCTTTGTTGCCACAGTAATGCTATTTTTCTGATATTTAGGCCCTATCCACACATTCTTTCTACACCAGCAGCTCAAACTATGTCTGCCTACGCAGGCCAGACTCAGTATTCGGGGATGCAGCAGCCAGCGGTCTACACAGCCTACTCACAGACAGGACAGCCCTACAGCCTGCCCACCTACGGTATTTCACATCTTTTATCTTCTCCTTCTTCAGTTATAAGTGGGTAATCTTGCTGGCTAGTAGTTTTATACTCTGATGTTAAGTTCCAACTCAAGGAAGGTCATCTTACTAATCAAATGGTTTGTATGTGCATTTTGGAAACAGATTTGGGTGTGATGTTGCCAGCCATCAAGACGGAGAGTGGACTTTCCCAAACTCAGTCCCCATTACAAAGTGGCTGCCTCAGTTACAGCCCAGGGTTTTCAACCCCACAACCAGGCCAGACACCATATTCTTATCAAATGCCAGGTAAGTAGCCATACATGAAGCGTGTGAGGTGAGAACCAATTCTCTGAATGAGACTCTTCAGCTTCAGTCTTAGAAATGTTCAGTCCTAAAGACAGGTTTAAATTTACCCCCGCTCACATGATTTCTTAAGACAAACAAAGAGGCAGAAACATGATGGAAAAAGTTGAATGTACATGGAGAAACATGACTCAGACTGAATGTAAATACTTAATTTTAAGCCACATAACATTGGCAGGAAACAGAGTCCAAGCAAAGCAAACTTCCAACCAGCCACCAGGTCAGGCAGGCACTTGTTTGGCGTCTATTTAAGTGAGGAATTTAAAAGACTCATAGTGCAAACTAGTATTTTCTTTTCAATATTCCTTAATAATGTAGTGCAATTTTGATTGTATGAAACTAAATTAGCACTTTTCTAAGGTCCACTTAACAAGTGATTGTTAAGTGACTGGGGATTTTGTTCATTCCTTAAATACTTACTACCTATTGGTAGTATAGTTCTTAATAGGACTTTTATATAATTTGTACCCGCCCCCATCATCAATATAGGATCATTTAATTTTTTAAAAAATTTTGGATCCTGTAAAAAATTATGTCTGATCTTTATATAATAGCTGAAGAAACAATTTTAGTGACATGGTAAAAAACATTAAAAGTTAGTTCTTCTCTGTCATTTTGTCTATAGTATTGATCATAATTTGGGGGCTATATTCATACATTTGAACCAATGGTTACTGGCCCTTTACTTAGAAATTTTTGGTCGGAATAGCAAATCTCTTTCCACCCGGAATATTAGGTGGAAACATATTTGCATATACGCTATTGCCACAATGAGTCACAGAGCTTCGTGAGCAATGTGATGAAGCATAGAAACATATTCAGTTTTCCCCTGTATAGGTTTATTCAGACCAAGTCAATTGCATTGATTACATAATATATTGCTAGTCAAAACACGTTGATAAAAGAGGTCTTCCACTTCCTGAATAGTTTTTCATTTCATTCCTTGATAAGTACAATCCACAAGAACATATTTAAAAAGAAAATTCTATAATTAATACTTTCCTTGTTTGGGGCCCAGCTGGAAAAATAATTAAATAAATTTTAAACTTTGTAGTTAAGTAGTAGAAGGCCCTTAAACCTTAAATTCTTAAACTTGTATGAACCTTTTCCAGACTCTGAATCTTAATTCGCACCTTTCATTGTTCTAAAGGGAGACATAAGTATCAGAGACAGGTTGCTGCAAGCATCAGTTCTAAGTGGGGCTTGTATGTTTATTTCCTAATAATCTCACCCAATGTTTAGCTACGTTAGTTTAAGTCTGCAAATGTGGTGGAAATAGTTTGAAAGATCCAAAATTCTGTCTGTCTTGTAGTTTATTCTTTGAGTACTCTGGCTCTTGTAGACACCTCTCCTTGAATGCCAGCTTTATCCTGGTGAGACTGTCCCCATGTTCTCCTGCATAACCCAACAAACCCACATGGCAAGTCTACTAGCCACCATGAGATGGCTAAGCACATTTTCTTTATGAGTCTCCCAACTTCAAATTTCACTGCATTCACAACCAAATTCAAAATATGTTTCTCTCACTGAATTCTGTGAAGTGAAATATTTTTATCATTTAACAAGGAAAACTTATTTGGGGTCTGTATGGAAATTTCATTTTTATTTTACATATAATACTTATATATTTATGGGATACTATGTGATGTTTTGATATGTGTATCATTATATAATGTTGAAACCAAAGCAAATAAAGCTTTCTCCTCATTTATCATTTATTTGTGATGAAAGGTTTCAGAATCTTTTTTTCTAACTTTTTTGAAATGTATAGTACATTATTATCTACATTAGGATTTTACTAGTGTGCAATAGACACCAGAATTTTTTTCTCCTATTCACCAACATCCCCACCCTTCACACTAGCTTCTTCTTTCCATCCTCTGGTAAGCACTATTCCATTCTTAACTTATATGAGATCAACCCTTTGGATTCTATATATGAATGAGGTCACATGACATTTGTCTTCCTTTGCCTGGCTTATTTCACTTAATATCTTTCAGTTCCATCTGAGTTGTCACAAATGACAGGATGCACCCTATTTATGACTGAATTGGTATGAAAGTTTTTAAAACAAAATTTGTTCTTCATCTCTAGGTTCTAGTTTTGCACCATCATCTACCATTTATGCAAATAATTCAGTTTCCAATTCAACGAATTTCAGTGGTTCACAACAGGTATAGTAGCTTTTTGTATTTGTTCTTTTTATATCTATTGCAGATTATTGAAGAGTACTTTCAATTATAAGTGTACATCCTCTGTAAATAAAGTTTCTTTATTTAAAATTCATATAGCAACTCAGGACAGTAAAAATTTACCTATCCAGAACTCTTGGGATATGTGTTATTCTAACTGTTTTAGATTTCTTGGTTACTAAATATGAATGCTGCAGTTGTTGCACTCTTTTGGCATGTTTTTTAAACATATTTTGCATACTTTTATCTTAAACTATCCTAAACACAACTTTATTTATATTAACAAACTGTTATCATGATGAATATTAACTAGTAGATCAAACTATAATCAATCACAGGATTATGCTATAGATGCTAAAACTTTTCAATCTTAAAAAGTAACACTAGTTAATAAACAAAATGCCTCCAGAACTAAGACTGGGTTTTCATTTTTTAAGTATTTAATTCTATAATTTCTTTCAATAAATGTTTAGTTCCCACTTTCCTAATAGTCATAATTTTGGCTTTGGTCACTGAGCCTATCTTGAGCAGGCCTCTGTCTCCTCCTAATCATATTTTCCTAATGTTTTGAGAGTTTTAAAAATCTAGCTGGTGGAGGGCTGGGAATATAGCTCAGATGGAAGAGTGTTTGCCTCATATGCACAAGGCCATGAGTTCACTTCCTAGCACCACAAAAAAAGTAAAAATAAAAATCTAGCTGGTGGGAATGACATGTGGAACAAGAGTGCAGGTTCCTGAAGTAGCAACTTGGCACAGAGATTAACTTGTGATCTGTGCTGATGCTTCAGAATCTATTGTCTTTATTTAGTGATTCTTAACTATGCCCAGAGTAGTTGAGACTGAAGGGTAACTGGTTTCTGGGCAGACAATGCACTATTTTACTTCAGTGTCATGGCTGAGCTTTCGGTATTTTAAAATATCTTACTGCACAACTGCTTGGATTTTGCATTTACTGAAGGAATTCTATTCATTGCTTTTTTGTGTGGTTTTATTAACATAGAAAAAGGCCAGAAGGAAGTTGGCATTCATTAGAAAGTGTGGTATACTTGGTCAAGTAGCCATCAGAGTCATTGCATATTTTATTTAAAAGCTGAGAATTTTAGATCATTTATTTATTGATAAAGCAGGCATTTATTAAGCCCATGCTGTACATTATATTTTTGACTAAGCATTGAATGTTCAATATGTTACCATTATGTACAATTATAATGCACCAATAAAAATATGGAAAAAATACTTAAGTCTTTATTTCATGTTCTCCAAAGGACACAATCTTCATGAAGAAACAGCAATGAAACAATTTGGATAGAGGGTGGAATATAATAATAAAATAATAGAAATATGGGTTGGGGATATAGCTCAGTTGGTAGAGTGCTAGCCTTGCATGCACGAGGTCCTGGGTTCAATCCCCAGTACCACCAAAAGAAAAAGAAGAATAAAAATATACACTAGTCAGAGTGGTAGTGTAAAGGAAAGACCACTATACTTGGGAGGATTTAAAATATATTTGTAAATTAGAAGAATATTTATTTGAAAAGTTTTAATCATAAAATAAATGGTGGGAATGACAATTTTGTCTGACAATTTAAGTATAATGGATGTCATATAAAATATAGTTTGTATTTTGGATCATGGGCCGAGTACCACTTCATCATTTCTGTAGATACTGAGTGTTTCTCAAGTATTAGGAACAGGTCTGAACATTAGGGGACAGTGGCGTGGTGGCCAGAATCTATCAGACCTTATCCTTACTTCATGGAATTTACAGCCTACAGACAATAAACCAATGAACACACAAATTAATATGTCCAGAATTAAAAAGCTTGAATGGAGAGAACAAGATCCCACTAAAAATAATAACAGGAAAATAATTTTGAACAGAGAGGCCTGGTGGACGCCTTCTCTGTGAGAGACACATTTAGGCCAAGGCTCCTGAGAGCCAGGTGAGGAAAGAGGGCACAAGTGTTTCAAGCCAAGAAAGCAGCAAGAACCAGACCCCCACGGGTGGAAGACTCCATGTGTCACTGAACTCCAGGAGGACTGGAGTTTAGCTGGAGCTGAGGGGAAGGTAGAGACAGCTGGTTTTGAAGCGGTAGGCAGAGGCCTGCTCACATAGAGCCACAAGGGTTTCAGTTAGGCCTTTGGATCCTTGTCTAAACCAGTAGGAAGCTATTAAAGGATCATAAGCAGGAGAACCCTACATCATTATGTAATTTACGTTTTGTGTAATCTGGCTTCTGAGTGTTTGGGGAAAGTAAAAAAATGGAAACAGGAGATAAAGTAGATTAGTGAATAAAATGGGTGGCAATGGGAAGTGAAGGATGTATAGACCAGGGTAACCATATTGGGAATGAAGGAGGCAGAAATCTCAGATATACACTGGAGCACTTGACACCTTATTCCCCAAAGACCAATGGGAGACTTCCCAGGGTGTACCCAGCTCCTCCTTAGGGTGTCAGTAGCTTATTAGCACACAGTGCCTCACACCCATGCTGGGGTCAAACAACAGGTACCAGTTGCAGCTCTGAAGCTTGTTGGCTGTGTAACCTGGGCACAAATCACATAAGCATTCTGTGCTGTTGTCTTCTTTTTAATATATAACATGGGAATAGTAATAATAACACCACATAGGAGATTGTGAAGATTAGGTGAACAAAGCTATTTAAGCCCTTAGTACAGTAACTGGACACAAAGCCAGCCATACATAAGACTCTGCTCTCTCTTTGACTCTGGAAAAGTCGGGTTGCTTGGAACTTGTTCAAATATTGATGAGTTTTTTCTTTGGCTCACAGGTAGCTGTGGGGAACATAAGATCCTGCAATTAACAGCCTAGTGGAATTTTAGTTTTTTGACATATTACTTAATCCTTTCTGCTAATACATGTATTACGCAGAGAATTTCCTTTTTGGGGAACCACATCCCACATGCATCTATGTTCACTCCAGAACTTGTCTCAACAGGGATCTTGATCCTGACCAAAGGTCTGTCATCACTGATAGCATTTTGGATTATCACATGGGAGATATATCAAACTCTATCACAACAGCCTCACTCACCATCTTAACATAGAAAAGAATTTTGCAGAATCATTCTTATCATTTTAAGGCTTTTTAAATTTTTTAAAATAAAAAACAGGGGAGCTGACCCAATGCTTTCATTTTTGTCTGTAAACAAAGGAGAAAAACCACAAGTTTGAAAAACCTCACTTCACTGAACCTTTTTAAGTCAAGGCCTCAGGTAGCACATGGTATGTGAGAGGCTAGGTTAGAAAAATCCTTCATTCTTTTGTTTATTTACTCTGTGCCTTCTGCCAAGAAGACAGAATCATCAAGGGCCTCCTGGAAAGGGAACAGAATGCACTGGGCAGTCCGTGTGGAAGCTGGGTGGGGAGCAGCCACACTCCCCCTGCTGATGGCCTTAGTACTGATTTTATAAATGTGACCTGATTCTGGCTCCCCATCTCCTCTTCCAGGGCATAGGTCCTAATGATGTAAATCCTTGGATAAGTGTAATTAGGGAGGCAAATGAAGTATATGCAAATTTTAGACAGATTAAAATTTTTGTTCTATAGCTGGCTTGTAAAAATAATAGAAAGCTTGGTCTGGGGTTGTGGCTCAGCGGTAGAGTGCTCGCCTAGCACGTGCAAGGCCCTGGGTTCAATCTCAGCACCACATAAAAATAAATAAACAAAATAAAGGTATTGTGTACAACTAAAAAATAAATATTTAAAAAAATAATAATAGGAAGCTCATTACCATGTGCATATATAGGTACAAAATGCCAACAAAATCATCTCCACATGTGAGGATTAGCTCAATGCTCTAGACTCAGAAACAAATGGAGCCAAAGCTGATCTTCCAATTGCCATGGTGATTGGGGTTGTTTGGGTTTTTTGCTTGTTATTTTTGTTGTTGTTTGGAGCACAATGGATGGTAATTTCTCTTCCAAGCACACACTTTTCCATTATTTGTTTCAGGATTATCCGTCCTACACAGCCTTTGGCCAAAACCAGTATGCACAGTATTACTCAGCATCAACCTATGGAGCATACATGACTTCAAATAACACAGCAGACGGCACATCCTCATCAACCTCCACCTATCAGTTACAGGAATCTCTCCCAGGACTGACTAGCCAACCAGGTACAGATCTTCACCCAGGTGAAATACTGTTAAATGTTTTCTAATAACATGAAGAAAATGGGCTTTTCAAAAACATGTCTGAAAATTCTCAGATAATTGTGATGATATTTAATCTACATTGGCCTCATTGCAAAAACTGAGGCTCTTTTGATATTTCAGAAAACCCTCCTTTTAGATATGGAACTGTTAGGAGATTGGACTCTCAAAGAGACTATGTATGTAGGAATGTGGATATGGGCGAATGGACCTTTTGCCAGACTTATTCTTTATTTTGTCAAAAACTTGACAGCAGAGTTATAATATTTTCTTCTTGAATATAACTGATAATATTTTCTTTCTGCCAGAGAGACTACCTAGGTCCTTCACCCTTAGTTCATCAGTAACTCCTAAAAGTCCACATTTATAGGATCAGTGGCAGGTAGTTTAACGTCTTTGCCTGATGTATGCTATTTGAAATCTATCATCATTCTCATTATATAAAGCTTTGCCATCTTCTTAGTAGAATCATGTTTGCTACATATATTTGATATATCAAAGTATTAAAAGTTAAAGGCAAGTTTTAATAGAGATTCAACATAATCTCAAATCAAAATGTCAATAGATTTTTTTGAAGTAATTATAAAGGTGATTTTAAAATTACAAGGAAAGGTAAAGGAACAGAAGAGTGAAAATAATTTTGAAAAATAAGAATGAAGTTTGAAAACTTGCACTGAATAATTTCAAGATTTACAAGTATAGTAATCAAGAAAGTACAGTATTATCAAAAGTATAGATTCATAGAGAAATGCAAGTGCAAAGACAATTGAATGAACAATTAGTATCTTTTAGCAAAAGGTACTGGAAAAACTGAACATCAATATGCAAAAGGTAAAAGAATCTCAACTCATAACCCATATGCAAAATATTAAATTGAATTATAAGCCTTCATGTAAAAATTAAAAACTAAAAAATATCTAGAAGAAAAACGAAATCTTTGTGACCTTGGACAACATAAAGATTTTGTAGATATGACACTGAAAACACAATTCATAAAAGAAAAGTTAAACTAGATTTCATCAAACTGAGAATATCTTTTAGAAAGCCACCACTACAGGAAGAAAAAGGCAAGTCACAGAGAAAAGATTTCCAAAACACATATCTGATAAAGGACCTGTATCCAGAATACATAAAGAACTCTCAAAAAAAAAAAAAAACTTGTAAATACTATCAATGTGTTTTAATATTTTTCTGCCTTTAGTTATTTTTAAGACCTAAATTCACCCATGTCTTTTATCTAGATTTGGAAAGAAAGAATATGGGAAAACATGGTCATATGTCAGCAAATTCTAACTGGACAAGTAGGGCCAAGATAATTCAATTCCATTAAACAACTATTTATTCAGTTCCTATTAGGTCCCAGCATTGAGCTAGAAACTTGTACTTAAGCAATGAAAAAAAAAAGCTTTGCCATCTTATTAGAATTAGACTCTGTGCATGTCTTTAATGTCCTTTTAACAAGCAAGATAAAAATCAGGTAAATAATTAACAGTGATGTATTAAGAAAAGGAAAATACTCGATTATATTTAAAATATTAACAAGTAAACTAATGTGGACATAAAGAACTAACAATGAAACACACACACACACGCATGCACGCACACACACATATATTTTTGCAGTGCTGGGATTGAACTCAGGGCCTCACACATGCTAGGCAAGCATTTTACCACTGAGCCAATGCCCAGCCCTAAACCAATATTTTAATTAACATCCAAACTATGCTTATATCATGAATTGATGGAAGGGCAGCATCTATTATTTTTCATTTCCTGCTGAGAATAGAGTAGTTCTCCCTTATTCATGGTTTTCTTGTTGCAGTTTCAGTAAACTATGATCAACTGCATTCAAAAAATATTAAGTGGAAAATTCCAAAAATAAACATAAGAATCCTTGCTTCACGAGTGGTGGAGATGCTGTAGATAGGGAGGCTTGTCATACTCTCATCACATTGGAAAGATTTTTCTCCATGGTGAATGCGCAGGCAGAACAAATGAGGGGACTCTGCTGACACAGAACCACAGTAGTGTTTGTCATCAGAGTGTCAGAGACTGAACGACAGACAGGACCATAGGGTGTTTTGAAGTTACTAGACTACAGTTACCATGAATGGAAACTGTATGCTCAGAGACGGAATGTGCTGCATGGCGCTTGGGTCCAAGGTTGATTTTGCTATAGTTTCCATGTAATCACAGCAGGGTTTCTGTGCAGGAAACACATGGATGGTGACTTCCATTTGCTAAAGAACACTCCATATTCAGAATAGTAGTTTTATTCATGGTACAGGTGCTACCTGCAGGCAGGGAGATATTCTGAGTGGGGACTTCGAATGCAGCACACCTACATGTGCATTCTCGTGTTTGCTATAAGATTCTACCATTTCTTCAGGCTTCCCGTGGCTGCTAATGCCAACAAATATGGATTAGCATAATTTTCATATTTCATCATACTTTTAGTTGAATTTAAAGAAGAAAGTATTTCTACTTGTAACTACATTGTTCTCTCAACCAAAATCATAACACACGCGTCTGAATTTTTAAGGAATTCTGTGATCTCTGACCTTTACTCATGCCTATTGAGATCTGGCATGCCTCCAAAAAGCAAGCAAGTTTATAACTATGAATTTGTTTTTATTAATGATGAAATCTGATGGATTCAGTTCAAGGGCAGGAAAAGAATTTCCCATTAACTGATTCTGCATTTTGGACTTATAGCAGAGACCTAACAATTAAGTCCACAATTTTTCACAGAACATTTCACTGTTTTCCATCTTTAAAACAGAAACATGCCCTATGTTCAATAAGAGACAGCTGGTTGTTCAGATATAGAGATAAACCTAATGAAATAAAGTTGGATCTAAATATCCAAAGCTTACAAGGGGCAGTTATTCATTATTGTACTGATTAAGGGATAATTATTCAATCATGTAGAAAAGCCCTGGGCAGTTGGTAATGACTGATGTTATTTGGAAATTGCAAATAGCGTTCAGTTATTTATTTTACCCTATTAGGTAGTTTGACAATGGATTTAAGAAACACTACTGTGCTGATTAAGAACAGACATTTTAGTTCATTATCGTTATGAAGACCTTTCTTTGGCTTTAACACAAAGTTTATCTAGGGTAAAATGATTTGCATGCAGGATGTTTTGAGAATGGATCAGCAAGTGAAGATGAAAGATTTTTACAGTTATTTTTATTAAATATTTTAATCTTCTTTAAAGTTAAGTGTGGTTAGTACTTTGTAGCAGTATTATCCTTTACCCTAAAACTACGAGAAACATTACAGTACATTAGCTAACTGAACAAGTGCTCCAGAAATGTCAAGGAGATAGTAAATCACTTCCCTCTCTGAGGCTAGCTTCTCAAGCAGAGGATGGACCACAATGAACTTTGCCAAATTACATTTTCCCCTCTTGAAGTATCCCATGCCCTTGTACAGTGACCTGAGTAAAGCAGACACTAGAGCTAACAGCTGTCTCTTTAAAAAAAAATAGTATCAACAAATGTTTAATGATCAGTTAAGCCCAAGTTTCTGGTTTTACTCTTTATCAGGAGATAGAGAGTACAGAGGTCAATACCGTCTCACCTGGATGGGCTCTGGAGGAGCAGAGACCCACCTGCCCTCCACAGGAAGTACTTTTTCACTTCAGTGAAGTCCTTTCAGTGAATTCCTTGGTCCTTTCTCACAGAGCAATAATGACTTTTTTATTTAATTGCTTTAAATGACAAATTTTAATATAGTTGTCATGTAAAACATGTTGTTTTGAAATATGCATGTATAGGGAAATGACTAAATCAAGCTAATGTATTTGTGACCTCACATACATCATTTTTGTGGTAATAACACTGAAAAGTCATTATCTTAGCAATTTTCAAAAAATATACATTATTGTCAACATGGTCACTGTGTTGTACGATACCATCTCTTCAACTTGTCCTTCCAAGTTAACTGAAATTTTGTATACTTTAACTGGCATCTTCCCAATCCCTGGCCCCAGCCTCACAGCACATGGTAACCACCATTCTATTCCATTTCTGAGACTAAACTTTTGCACTCTACATGTGAGTGAGGTCATGCAATATTTATCTTTCTGCACCTGACTTATTTTGCTTAACATAATAACCTCCATATTGTTGCAAGCAACAGGTTTCTTTCTCTTTTAAGGTTGAATAATACTCCACTGTGTACATGGACCACATTTTCTTTTTCCCTTCACCTTTTGAAGGAACCTTGGGTTGATAGCATATCTTAGTTATTCTGAACAGTGCTTCAGTGACCATGGGAATGCAGGTATCTCCTTTACATAGTGATTTCACTTCCTGTAGATATATACCCAGGGATGGGATTGCTGAATCATTTGGTAATTCTATGTTTAACTCTTTGAGGACCTTCCATGCTCTTTTCCATAATGGGGGTCTTTATCTACATTCAACAGTTGCAAGCGTTCCCTTTTCTCTACATCCTCTCCAACACTTATTATCTTTAGTCTTTTTGATAATAGTCATCCCAACAGGTGTGAGGAGATATCTCATTGTAGTTTATTTGAATTTCTCTCATGATTGTTGAACATTTTTTTCATCTTCCTGTTGCCCATCTGCAGGTTTTTTTTTTAAGACGTATCGACTGAGATCCTTTGCCCATGTTTTAATGAGGTTATTTGTTCTCTTACTACTGAGTTGTTTGAGTTCCTTATATTCCTTATATGTTTTGAATACTAACCGCTTATCAGATGTATGCTTTCCAATATTTTCTCGCATTCTGATCAGTTGTTAGATTATTCCTTGATGTGTAGAAGCAGGCATAGATTTGACCTTTTTGTAACCTGGAAAATATATGGCAATTTGGGGAAAGCCTCATGATTAAGGCAGAAGTTCTGAAGTCACATTAAAATTGTAAAATACAAGCTAATTAATTTTGGTAAGTTAGTTAAGTTTCACATGTCTCCAATCTATCACTAAAAGACAACAATGAAGGACTTAATTCACTTTGTTGGAGTGAGTTTAAATCATGTGTATACACATATACTACAGTGAAAAGCTCTGACGAATCAATAAGAAAAGCAAGAACAACCCATTTTTTAAAATGGGCAAGAGCTTTAACAATTATCAAAAAGAAAATATAAAATGGACAAGAAACATAGCAAAAATGTTCTCCATCATTACACATCAAGAAAATGCTAATTAAAATGACAGTGCAATACTACCATGCATTCACAATGACTAAAATAAAGAAGACTAACCATATCAAGTATTGTCATGGATGTGAAGCAACTGGAACTCTTGTTGTTAGTAGGAGAGCAAATTAATACCCTCACTTTGGAAAAAGTTGATGTCTACTAAAGATGCACATATGCCTACCCTCTAACCCAGTAATCGCCTTGTGAGGTATAGATACTCAAGAAGAATGAGTGCTTATATCCACAAAAGCATGTACAAGAGTACAAATGGCAGCTTTCTTCATAATAACCTAACACTGACACTAACCCAAATGTCCCTCAATAGGAGGGATAAAATTTAATATATGTATTTCATGAAGTTTTAGCCACATAAATGAAAGAACAGAGTTGTTCTAGGTCTAATATGGATAAACTCAAAGACATAATGAGCAATGAAAATTTCTTTTTTAAAAAAAGAATGCATGACACTTTCTAAGTGTTTAATAAATTTAGAACTATTTTTCATGGTTTGCTTTAAAAGCTGTACTTTATTCCCATCAAAACATTTCTGTCCACATTTTTTCCATATTCTTAGAGCATATTTTAAGACCCTCTAGTAACTTGCAAAGTATTAATGGGAATAAATTCTTCTGCATATGAAAACCAAGATACTTCTTATGACCACATCTTTTCCCTTCACAACTGTGGCATTTACTGGATCCCAGATTCAAATAGCCCTGTTGTTCCTGCTAAATTTCTTCTTTATTGACCCAGTCTACAATTGACTTCCCATAACTGATGGCAATAATTGAGATTTTGTAAGTTTCTATTCTTTCAGCTCTTGTACTGTGGGAAGAACAAAGCTGCCTTATGGTATATAACACCTAGAAATTGATTTAAAATGAATATCAAGACAGGTTTTAGGGACTATTATCCAAAAAATTTTAAAAGCTTACTTAAGAAGAGAATATCAATTTGCATCATCATTTTACTTAAATGAGAACATTCAATTTGCAGAATATAGTAACCTTAGGAAAGGTTCAAAAAATAATTTAAAATATTTTAAGTAATTTTATTAAAAGTTGATGTGTTTTCAAATAGCTGAAGCCTCATTTAACACATGCAAAAGCAAGCTGAAACATAATTTACTACAAAATAGGGCTATATTTAACCCTACAACTAAAAAACTTTAACAGAGAAACATATGCCATGAACTTACAATATTGTAAAAGCAAATACTATTTGCAAACATATTTTTTGTGTAAACATATTTTTTGATCCTGTCCTGACATGCACAATATTTCCATAGAAAATGTTATAATCAAAAGAAATAAGATATTGGCTATGTAAAAACTGCTGTTTCTCAGAAAAATAATAATGCCGAAGGGACTGGTGACTGGTATGTATGTAGCCCAGTGATAGCACATTTGCCTAGGATAATGCACAAGGCCCTGGGTTTGGTCCCAGCACTGATAAAAAGGAAAGAAAAAAAAATAATGTATATAAGTATGCCTGGTTTGTTCAAATTTATTTATTTAGATTAATTTCTGCTTGGCTGCCTTGAGAATTCTTTTACTTTAATTTAATGATAAAGCATGATAGCCATAACATCTTTATGTTTAAAAATGTGAAATTTAAACTTAATATAGTTTGCAATCTGATTCTCCTAGAAAGTTTTATTTTATACATATGATTTAAATCAAATTAAACATAAATCTGATTTTCCCTCAGTAGTGCAAAAAAGTAGCTACTATTACCGGTACTTTAATGTACAATGAAACAGATTCAGAGAGATTGAAATTCTTGAAGTTATAGATTAAGACTGGCTCCTTTCTCATGGTGGCCTCAGTTTATCTTAAGAACCTCTAACAATTTTTCACTGTTCATGAGGTACCCTCCACCTGCTAAGATATATTGTCACTAGCTTTAGATATGTCAGAATTTTAGGTATTTGTGAGAGATACAGACACCAGCTAGATAAGAAGTCTGAACCTTAGGATATGGCTGGATAGAGGTATAAACTTGATCACAGGTGATTCAATACAGGTTCATTAATACATAAGAGGGTAATGTCACCCAAAATATGGAGTGAAAAGGATGGTGATCAAAAAATGGATCTCTTTAAAAAAAATGGATCTCTTCAATACCAGCATATAAGGAATGGCAGGACGGGAGTCCATATCTCCTAGACAGAGAAGGGCTGGTGTTTAGGGTTTAGGTGAACTGAAGCTAGCTTTTGATAAATCAGATACATGGAGTGGAAATAATTGTGTTGTCTGATACTTTAGCCACTGGCCATTCATGGCTATTGAACACTTAGAATGTGGCTTACCATAGTTTGAGATATACTATACGTGTAAAATATGCACAAGATTTTAAAGATTTAGTATGAAAATGAGAATGGAAGACATATCATTGATCATTTTTTATATTGACTTCATGCTGAAATGATATTTTTCATATTCTGAGTTAATAATGTGAGTCAATTTTATATCTTTTTACTTTTTTAATGCGGCTGCTAGAAAATGTTTTTAGTCAGCTTTTTCACTGCTGTGACAAAAAGACATAACCAGAACAATTATTTATTGTTTATTTTGCAGCTTATAGTTTCAGAGGTCTTGGTCTATAGTTAGCCAACTCCATTCTTTATGGCTTGAGGTGAGACAGAACATCGTACAGAAGTGTGTGGCACAGGAAAGTAGCTCAGAACAGGACACCAGGAAGCAAAGAGAGAGTTCTGCTCAACAAGGACAAATACAGATTCCACAAAGACAGCCTCTGATGTCCCACCTCCTTCAGCCACACCCTTCCTGCCTACAGTTAGCATCCAGTTAATCCCTATCATGACACTCAATCCCTAATTGGGTTTAAACTCTTATAACACAATCATTTCACCTCTAAACTTTCTTGCATTGTATCATTCATGAGCTTTTGTGGGATACCTCATATTTAAATCATAACAAATATAAAATTATGTGTGCAGTCATATCTGTGGCTTGCATTTATTTCTATTTCATGGAGCTGGTATATGAACTATTATTCTTCTAAGAAGTTTCATTTAAATGAGAAGATAGCAGAGAGTATCAAGATGGAAATGCAAGGTCAAGAGAAGGGACTTCTAAATTTGTCAGTGGACCACAGAGAAGGTTGAAGGAAAGATGAAAAAGGGTTTTTGATTAACCAGGCATGATTCCCTAAGAGGTGGAGCTAGGGAGTCCCCTTTGGATAGGATTGATCTAGAAGGCATCCTCTGTACTGTGACCAAAAAGAACGTGAGGATAGAGGGCTGGGGTTGTGGCTCAGTGATAGAGTGCTTGCCTCGTACATGCAAGGCGCTGGGTTCAATCCTCAGCACCACATATAAATAAATAAATAAAATAAAGGTATTGTGTCCAACTACAACTAAAAAATATTAAAAAAAGAAAAAGAATATGAGAATAGAGCTAAATATAGATAAATATGTAGGTGAAGGCACAGAGATAAAGTTGAAGATGTGATGTATAAAAAGTATTTGGGTTTAATAGATCATATAAATTAAAACAGAAGAGATCTGTATGACCAGTAAAAATTTTGACTCAATTAGAATTTTTGGGTTTGGGATTATAATAATTCTTTTCTTTTTCTTTTTGTCACAAGATTTCTATTATACAGAAATTTGTTAAGATAATTAATAATGGAGGCCCATACCTGATCTAAATATGAAGTGCTCTTCTTGATACAGGTTATGTTTTTGCAGGAGAGTTTGATACTGTGCAAAGCCCCTCCACACCTATCAAAGATCTTGATGACCGAACATGCAGGAGTTCTGGGTCTAAGTCCAGAGGCAGAGGCAGGAAAAACAACCCTTCCCCACCTCCCGACAGTGACCTGGAGGTATGCCTGCTGATTCTTCAAGAGTGCAGTCTGTTGCTCTATTTTAGTGATTGATGGATTCTCTAGCTTACTCTTCCATTAAATTTCAGAATTAAAGTAAAAAAGACATATCATGAACTGAGTAGATCTGCTTTGTCACAGGCATTTTACAACTCTAAGTTCTGAAATTTCATATTGAATGACCATTATAATAGTAAAATGAAAAGCAATAACAACTCAAAAGTAATAGTACTTTACAAATTCTAAGGCCTGAGATAATCACATCTTTCTATTCAAATTGGCAAAAACAAGCAGAAAGTTTTAAAAATAAAGCCATTTTGTGGGACCATTTCCTAAGAACATTATATTTGGTAGGATTAAAGTAATGAAAGACTTATACATATGGGTTAATATATTTTAAAACATAAAATAACCTGTTTGGAAAAGAAAGATCATCCCAAAATAGGAAAATGTCATTCATTTGACTTATGGGTTTAAATTGTCATATCTGGGAAAATTTAAACTATGTAATTTTCTCATTTAAGAGCCCTTTTGAGATTCATGTATACTAAGCAGGTTTTTTTTTTTTTTATTATAAGACATCAAGAAAAACTACTATTACTCGTAATGTTACTTCTTATACAAACTCCTGCTTCAATTGAGAAAAAATTTAATTTCCGGATTTACTATACCTCCACATAAAAGGTGATTCTTTTGCCTGAACAATAGCAGCAAATTTAAATGCCTTCAAGAACCTAGAAGGTAATATTAGTGATGAGACTGGGGAGCCCAGCAGACCCTGGAAGAGGAGAGCATTGGTCCGTTCTAGGGGACCTGTCATTGGTCCATTGCAGGGGACCTGCCATCTCTGCAGTGTGGGAGTATCAGCCAGCCTGGCCCCAATCTCAAGTTTCTCTGTTACAGTCAAAACTCTGAAGCTTGATGAAATCTCTTAATTTTGAAATGGTGATAAATAATTTCGAACCTTTTCAAACTCCGCAGGTTAGACAACATATTCATTGACCTAATCTGACTCAACGATCTACACTTTGCATTTTCTATTTAGAGGTTACTCACAGATTCTTTTAAATATTTTTAAAACCCAATTCTTTATATGTAAATTGCAAAATTCCATGAATCCATGAGGTCTAAAACTTTAAGGTATATATAGAAGTTAAGCACACTTTTATTATAAAGTCTAAATGTGTCTTTTTTTTTTTTTTTTTTTTTTTTTTGGTATTAACTACCAGTAGAAGAGTTTGAATGAATTTATGCAGTTTAGATCATCAGATATTAAGCTTATTATCACTTGTATTACTCATGTTTTTCTGGATTTACAGGAGTTAGAGTTTTCAAATGAAAAATAATAATGGAATAAAAAATTTTCTGTAAAACAATATCAAGATTATACCTGAAAATGTAGGGAGATGTTTTCTACTTATATAGAGGTTTCTGTTTCCTTTAAACTTTGTGATTTTTTGATATTGATTTTTTTTTCCCCTCAGCGTGTGTTTGTCTGGGATTTGGATGAAACCATAATTGTTTTTCATTCACTGCTCACAGGGTCTTACGCACAGAAGTACGGCAAGGTAAGGAATCAAGAACTACTGTACTTGTTAAAAGAAAATGCTAGAATGAATATCCACACACCTATTTGTATCTCATATTTATTTTTATTACCTGTTTCATAATGAACATACTTCACAAATGTATTTTCTTAGCTCTAACTAGTACTTGTTCTTAACTAGTACTTGTTCTTAGCTCTACTGTACTTGTTAGAACTTATTTTATTCAAAAATCAAAGGTCACTTAAAAGTACTGTTAAGTGCTTTTATTGCAATCTGTCAGATCTTCCCTTAGTTATCTATTTCCAGTGGCTTACAGGACTTTAACATGAACTGACACACTTCATGAAGCTAATGAGAAATTGGACGCCCTCTTCGTTCTTCATAATGACTTTTAGCTTTTTACAACAAAACCAAGTTTCTTACTCTTACACAATTATTTGAAAAATCAGGAATCAAAATAGACTTTTAAACGTTTGGAAACCATGTCTTATTCCCTACTAAGAGAACTTGAAGAAATTGAACAAATTTGTTGTACCTGTTACTATCGGATTCTATTTTGAAACAAGCAGTCCTTCTTTTTTTGTCTGACAGAGTTTTTGGATTGATGAATGAAAGAATGTTTCTGTACCTTGAATATGAACCTGAGAGATAACACCCCCTCAGGTTACTCATAGTCAGCAACAGAGGATCTCTTTGCTTCCCTGCCTTTCTCCCCTGCTGTTGTTTTCCTAAACAGCTTCTTATAACAGTGTTATTCACTGTTTGAGTGCTGTTCCCAAGACTGATGCAGCAGCAAGAGGCCTATCAGCTGGAAACAAATTTTTAGGCCATTACTGTTTAAGACCTTGACAATTTAGGATTCATGATCTAACCAGAATGGATTGAGAATAAGCTGGTCTGCTTTTGACTACTGTACTTAAAGTTAGATAGAACTTGGTTCCTTAACACATCACACCTACACAAGCATCTTATCCTTTTTAGCAACACACTAATTGATAATGAGTGTCTCAGGCCAGCTCAACATGTGTTTTTTAGCAGTTATGTTAAGAATTGTCGTCTAGATAAACAGTGATCAATTTCATTGAAACTTCTTCCTCAATTGCTCTTTGGGCGAATCTATATTACCATGTTTTGGGTGTAGGTAATGGAAGTTTCTAAACAGATATGAAAAGTAACAACCATTTCTAAATGGACTTTTAGGCCCTTGTCACAATTGTTATCTAAAGCATTCATCTCTAAAGTAAGATGAATACATGTGCATTAGATACACAAGACTGTCAACTTGGATAAGGAAAGAAAATACTAGAATGAATATCCACACACCTATTTGTATCTCATATTTATTTTTATTACCTGTTTCATAATGGACATACTTCACAAATGCATTTTCTTAGCTCTAACTAGTTATATAAGCCACAGATTGGGTGGCTTAAACAGAAAACAATTATTTCTCATAGTTTTGGAGGCTGAGAAGGCCAAGATCAAGGTGTCAGCAGATTTGATTCTGGTGGGGGCCTGCTTCCTGGCTTCACAATGGCTATCTTCTTGCTGTAACCTGATATGGTGGAGAGAAGAGAAATAAAAAGCAAGGACTTTTGTCTTTTTACAAGGACATCTGTCTCATTCATGAGGTGTCTACCTTCATAACCCAATTATTTCTCAAAGGCTCATCCTCCCGATATCAGCACAGTGGAAGTTAAGATGTCAACATACAAATTTGGGGAGGTCACAAAGATTCAGTCTATAGCATACCCATGTGTATTAGCCATTTTTCCATTACTGTGACAAAAATTCCTGAGATGATCAAGTTGTAAGAAGAGAAAAGGTTTATTTTAGTTTTCAGTTTCAGGGGTTTCAGTCCATGGTGACATGGCTTCATTGCCTTTGACCTGTGGTGAAGCATCATGGCAGGGAGTAAGCATGTGGTAGAACAAGCTGTTCATCTCGTGGCAGTTGGGAATCAAAGAGAGAAGAAAAAATGGGTGAAGGTCCCAATGTCACTTTTTTTTTAAAGAGAGAGAGAGAGAGAGAGAGAATTTTTTTTAATATTTATGTTTCAGTTTTCGGTGGACACAACATCTTTATTTAATTTTATGTTGTGCTAAGGATCGAACCCAGCACCCCGCACATGCCAGGCAAGCACGTTACCGCTTGAGCCACATCCCCAGCCCCCCAATATCACTTTTGAGGGCATGTCCCCAATAGCCTCTTTTTCCCACTGGGCACCACCTCCTAGAGGTTCCACCACCACCTCTCAACATTGTCACAGGCTGTCTGGCAACCAAGCCTTAACTTTAACATGTAGGCCTTTGAGGAGCACTTATCTAAACCACAGCACTACACATGAGTATCATTAAAATATATGCTTATAATGTGTAAGTAAATTATACAGATTTGGGATACACACACTCCAAATACTATTACTTATGGAGTATACAATCTAAAATGTTTTCAGAAAAATAATCTGAAGGATTTCTTCTGATATAGCATTGGCTTATAGGAAATAGCCAGTAAGGCTTATTGAATTCGTTGCAATATTTTTGTACAGCTAAGTTTCATATTAAGACAAGTGTTTAAAATAAATAATCTACCTTGAATGCATGCTCTAAATAAAGGTCTTCTCAAAATAATCACATTTGGGGCTATACCTAGATGTCCATGTTGTTCCCCTTATGCCAAGTCAGGGATGGAGATCATATTTTTTAATAACCTTTAAAATTTGAACATATTTTCTTACATCAAATCTCCTTTTTTTGGGGGGGGAATTTTTATCTACAAAAATAATATCATTTGGACTCAACACAATGAATACAGAGCGTGGTAAAAACATCATTATATATGTTTGCTTTATTTTTTTTGCTATAGCGCGGTGAAGCTGCTTTGCCCAGCTGACTCATAAACTGACTTTCGGAACAATTCCAAAGTTCTCAGACTTCTCCCAGCAGTGGTACATCACTTACATTAACCTGTCCCCTCCCTGGATGACCACCTGGCTATGCAATCCACATGTCCATGTTTCATTATTTCAAAGTGTTGTCTAGAAAATTTATTTAAATCCAAAATAGGAACATTCTGCATGCTTCCAGAAGTTAAAAAAAAAAAAAAAAAGAAGAAGAAGAAGAAAGAAAAACCAGCAGTAATACCTAAAGAGCAGAGCAAGGTGAGGGGGAAGAATGGAGCTAACCACTATTTACTGCTGGTGATGTTCCACACAGTGGGTGTCACACAGTGCCAAAGGCTAGTTTGTTCTCCCTCTCTGTAGATAGGAAACATACTCAGAAAGGTCACTAAATGGGCACATGGCTGCACAGCCAGCCAGTGACACAGATGAGTCCTGGGACCCTGGACTTCTTGACTCCAGAGAAAAGCTATGTTCTTCCCGCTATAACACACCATGTGGCATAGACAATTCATCCACCAGGAATGCAATATATAAAGAGCATTTCCCAGAATCAGTGAAAATAGCAACATACGATGCAGATGGTGTGTGAGTTCTTCTTTCAATTGTACTAATTTTAATTACCTTCTCTCAGACTCTGAGATTCTTTCCCATTAAGAGGTAAAACTAAAGACATGTTGTATGAAATAGAATGTAGCAGACATCAATAGTGCTCTTCTAATAGTGCCCTATTAGAAGATAACTTCACGTTCACCATGTGTGTCGGCCTCTGGCATTTCAGAGGCAATGGTGGTAATTAAGGGCCAGGGCTTTTGAGTTGGATGAACTAAATTTGAAAATTTAGTTTTGATGTTTACTGTTTTCTGACTCTGGCCAGTTGATTAATCCCCAAGTCTTAATATCTATAAAATGGGAATAACATCATTACTGGAAAATGAGAATTAAAGAGCTAGCTAGCATGTTTAAAGGGCTTAGCAGAATGTTGGTTGTGAATTAGTGCTCAAGAATGTTGTAGCTGCTGTTTATTACTTTCAGAAACATCATCATCCCATTTAATTCTCACAATTACTTTGCTGTCTTTTATTTATTTATTTATTTGTTTGTTTGTTTGTTTGTTTTGTGATGCATGTTTTATGGATAACTGGGATAATGAGGTCTTAAGTACTTAATCAAGGTAGCAGAATAACAAATGCTGGCACGCATGCTGGAAACCAGGTCAGTCTCTTGACAAGTCCGTGTTCTTGGGACCTGCCCCTGGTTGACCATATTGAACAATGTTTTTACTCAAGGCAACTTAAGAAAATTAAAATTTAAAAAAATTTTAAAGCTGTTTTTCCTAATCAAAATTTAAGATGCCCTATTGAATTCCATGAAAAGCAATTTAGGTTGCCTAATTTGTTGAATTATTATTTACATTTTTCTAAAAGTCGTTATTGACATCTCCCTGAATGTTGATGAGGGAATGGATATTGCCTTTTAGCCAATAAGATGTTATTAACTTGGCCTATTGAGATGTAGCTTAGGAAGAGATGTTAAATCAGGTCACCTTGTGAAACTTGGACCACATGCAGCTCAGGGCTTATTGCAGAGGGAACAGAGAGGACATTGAGTGACTTTGGCAAGTGAAAATGGTAAAGTAGAAACTAAAGCTCCTGGATAGATTGTATCCCTTTAGCAAACAATTATTAACACAAATGTGCTTCCTGCACTCTTGGGACTTACAAATAAAATCATTTCAGGTAGTAACAACTGCTATGAAGACAATAAATCTGGGTCATATAAAGAGTGACCTGGGTGTGTGACTAGAGGGGGAACGTTGGTGCTGAGACCTGAATTACAAGGAGCCAGGCAGACTAGGGGGAGAGGGAGAATGGGGAAGAGCCTCCCAGTGGGGCACAGAGGACCCTGAGACAGTGTTCCATGAATACAAAGTCCAGTGAGGCTAGAAAGTATAAACAAGTGGGAGATCCATACAAGCAAGTAGAGAGATAGGCAAGGACAGGGGCAGGTAGGTCTTGTCCTCTGTGGAAAGGCATTTGGGAGTTTCATTAGTTGTAATAAAAAGCCACTGGAGGGTTTTAGGCAGAGTTGGGACTTGATGGTTTATAATCATCTGCCAGGT